TGGGGAACGTTCTGGGAACGTTTGGGGGACGTTGGGGGACGTTTGGGGAACGTTGTGGGAACGTTGGAGAACGTTGGGGGAACGTTGGGGGACGTTGGGGGAGCGTTGTGGGACGTTGGGGACGTTGGGGGACGTTGTGGGAACGTTTGGAACGTTGGGGGACGTTGTGGGAACGTTGGGGAACGTTGGGGAACGTTGTGGGAACGTTGGGGAACGTTGGGGGAACGTTGGGGAACGTTGGGGAACGTTGTGGGAACGTGGGGAACGTTGTGGAACGTTGGGGCACGTTTGTGGGAACGTTGTGGAACGTTGGGGAAAAGTTGTGGGAACGTTGTGGGACGTTGGGGAACGTTGGGAAACGTTGGGGGAACGTTGGGGGACGTTGTGGGAACGTTGGGGAACGTTGTGGGAACGTTTGGGAACGTTGGGGAACGTTGGGGGAACGTTGGGGGACGTTCTGGGAACGTTGGGGGAACGTTGGGGACGTTCTGGGAACGTTGTGGGAACGTTTGGGGAACGTTGTGGGAACGTTGGGGGAACGTTGGAGGAACGTTTGGGGAACGTTTGGGGAACGTTTGGGGAACGTTGGGGGAACGTTGGAGGAACGTTTGGGGAACGTTTGGGGAACGTTGGGGGAACGTTGGAGGAACGTTTGGGGAACGTTTGGGGAACGTTGTGGGAACGTTGGGGGAACGTTGGAGGAACGTTTGGGGAACGTTTGGGGAACGTTTGGGGAACGTTTGGGGAACGTTGGAGGAACGTTTGGGGAACGTTTGGGGAACGTTGGGGAACGTTGGGGGAACGTTGGAGGAACGTTTGGGGAACGTTGGGCAACGTTAGGGGAACGTTGTGGAACGTTGGGGGAACGTTGGGGGAACGTTTGGGGAACGTTTGGGGAACGTTGGGGAACGTTGGGGGAACGTTGGAGGAACGTTTGGGGAACTTTGGGGAACGTTTGGGGAACGTTTGGGGGAACGTTGGGGGAACGTTGGGGAACGTTGGGGAACGTTGGAGGAACGTTGTGGATCGTTGGGGGACGTTGGGGGACGTTTGGGGAACGTTAGGGGAACGTTGGGGGAACGTTGGGGGAACGTTGGGGGAACGTTTGGGGAACGTTTGGGGAACGTTTGGGGAACGTTTGGGGAACGTTGGGGGGAACGTTGGGGGAACGTTGGGGAACGTTGGGGAACGTTGGAGGAACGTTGTGGATCGTTGGGGGACGTTGGGGGACGTTTGGGGAACGTTTGGGGAACGTTGGGGGACGTTGGGGGAACGTTGGGGGAACGTTTGGGGAACGTTGGGGAACGTTTGGGGAACGTTGGGGGAACGTTGGGGGAACTTTGGGGAACGTTTGGGGAACGTTTGGGGAACGTTGGGGGGAACGTTGGGGAACGTTGGGGAACGTTGGGGGAACTTTGGGGAACTTTGGGGAACGTTGGGGAACGTTGGGGGAACGTTGGGGGAACGTTGGGGGAACTTTGGGGAACTTTGGGGAACGTTGGGGGGAACGTTGGGGAACGTTGGGGAACGTTGGGGGAACTTTGGGGAACTTTGGGGAACGTTGGGGAACGTTGGGGGAACGTTGGGGGAACGTTGGGGAACGTTTGGGGAACGTTTGGGGAACGTTGGGGAACGTTTGGGGAACGTTGGGGAACGTTGGAGGAACGTTGTGGATCGTTGGGGGACGTTGGGGGACGTTTGGGGGAACGTTGTGGGAACGTTGGAGAACGTTGGGGGACGTTGTGGGAACGTTGGGGAACGTTGGGGGACGTTGTGGGAACGTTTGGGAACGTTGGGGGACGTTGTGGGAACGTTTGGGAACGTTGGGGAACGTTTGGGGAACGTTGGGGAACGTTGGAGGAACGTTGTGGATCGTTGGGGGACGTTGGGGGACGTTTGGGGAACGTTGTGGGAACGTTGGAGAACGTTGGGGGACGTTGTGGGAACGTTGGGGAACGTTGGGGGACGTTGTGGGAACGTTTGGGAACGTTGGGGGACGTTGTGGGAACGTTGGGAACGTTGGGGAACGTTGTGGGAACGTTGGGGAACGTTGGGGAACGTTGGGGGAACGTTGGGGAACGTTGGGGAACGTTGTGGGAACGTTGTGGAACGTTGGGGAACGTTGTGGGACGTTGGGGAACGTTGGGGAACGTTGTGGGAACGTTGGGGAACGTTGGGGAACGTTGTGGGAACGTTGGGGAACGTTGGGAAACGTTGGGGAACGTTGGGGGACGTTGTGGGAACGTTGGGGAACGTTGTGGGAACGTTTGGGAACGTTGGGGAACGTTGGGGGAACGTTGGGGGACGTTCTGGGAACGTTGGGGGAACGTTGTGGGAACGTTGGGGAACGTTGGGAGAACGTTAGGGGAACGTTGGGGGAACGTTGGGGGAACGTTGTGGGAACGTTGGGGAACGTTGTGGGAACGTTGGGGGAACGTTGGGGAACGTTTGGGGAACGTTGTGGGAACGTTGTGGGAACGTTGGGAACGTTGTGGGAACGTTGTGGGAACGTTGGGGGAACGTTTGGGGAACGTTTGGGGAACGTTGTGGGAACGTTTGGGGAACGTTTGGGGAACGTTTGGGGGACGTTCTGGGAACGTTGGGCAACGTTGGGGGAACGTTGGGGGAACGTTTGGGGAACGTTTGGGGAACGTTGGGGAACGTTGGGGGAACGTTGGGGGAACGTTGGGGAACGTTTGGGGAACTTTGGGGAACGTTGGGGGAACGTTGGGGGAACGTTGGGGGAACGTTGGGGAACGTTGGGGAACGTTGGAGGAACGTTGGAGGAACGTTTGGGGAACTTTGGGGAACGTTTGGGGAACGTTGGGGGAACGTTGGGGAACGTTGGGGAACGTTGGGGGAACGTTGGAGGAACGTTTGGGGAACTTTGGGGAACGTTTGGGGAACGTTGGGGGGACGTTGGAGGAACGTTGTGGATCGTTGGGGGACGTTGGGGGACGTTTGGGGAACGTTAGGGGAACGTTGGGGGAACGTTGGGGGAACGTTTGGGGAACGTTGGGGAACGTTTGGGGAACGTTTGGGGAACGTTGGGGGAACGTTGGGGGAACGTTGGGGAACGTTGGGGAACGTTGGAGGAACGTTGTGGATCGTTGGGGGACGTTGGGGGACGTTTGGGGAACGTTTGGGGAACGTTGGGGGACGTTGGGGGAACGTTGGGGGAACGTTTGGGGAACGTTGGGGAACGTTTGGGGAACGTTGGGGGAACGTTGGGGGAACGTTGGGGAACGTTTGGGGAACGTTTGGGGAACGTTGGGGGGAACGTTGGGGAACGTTGGGGAACGTTGGGGGAACTTTGGGGAACTTTGGGGAACGTTGGGGAACGTTGGGGGAACGTTGGGGGAACGTTGGGGAACGTTTGGGGAACGTTTGGGGAACGTTGGGGGACGTTTGGGGAACGTTGGGGAACGTTGGGGAACGTTGGAGGAACGTTGTGGATCGTTGGGGGACGTTGGGGGACGTTTGGGGAACGTTGTGGGAACGTTGGAGAACGTTGGGGGACGTTGTGGGAACGTTTGGGAACGTTGGGGGACGTTGGAGGAACGTTGTGGATCGTTGGGGGACGTTGGGGGACGTTGGGGGAGCGTTGTGGGAACGTTGGGGAACGTTGGGGGACGTTGTGGGAACGTTTGGGAACGTTGGGGGACGTTGTGGGAACGTTGGGGAACGTTGGGGAACGTTGTGGGAACGTTGGGGAACGTTGGGGAACGTTGGGGGAACGTTGGGGGACGTTGTGGGAACGTTGGGGAACGTTGGGGAACGTTGGGGAACTTTGGGGAACTTTGGGGAACGTTGGGGAACGTTGGGGGAACGTTGGGGGAACGTTGGGGAACGTTTGGGGAACGTTTGGGGAACGTTGGGGGACGTTTGGGGAACGTTGTGGAACGTTGGGGGAACGTTGGGGAACGTTGGGGGAACGTTGGGGAACGTTGGGGGAACGTTGTGGGAACGTTGGGGGAACGTTGGGGGAACGTTGGGGAACGTTGGGGGACGTTGTGGATCGTAGGGGGAACGTTGGGGGAACGTTGGGGGACGTTGGGGGAACGTTTGGGGAACGTTGTGGGAACGTTGTGGATCGTTGGTGGAACGTTGGGGGACGTTTGGGGAACGTTGGGGGAACGTTTGGGGAATGTTGGGGAACGTTGGGGAACGTTGGGGAGCGTTTGGGAACGTTTGGGGAACGTTTGGGGGACGTTTGGGCAGCGTTGGGGAGCGTTTGGGAACGTTTGGGGAACGTTGGGGAACGTTTGGGGAACGTTGGGGGAACGTTGGGGAACGTTGGGGAGCGTTTGTGAACGTTTGGGGAACGTTGGGGAACGTTTGGGGAACGTTGGGGAACGTTTGAGGAACGTTGGGGGAACGTTGGGGGACGTTTGGGGAACGTTTGAGGAACGTTTGAGGATGGAGTAAACATCAAAATGAAACGCAGTCTCCGGCAAGATGTCATCCAACGTGGAGTCGCCGAGACAGCGCAGCGACTCGCCCACAACAGACAAAGGTTCCCCGTGCAGCCTCGACGGGCCGTTGGGGCAAGTGCCTTTGGTGGCGAGGCAGCGCCTACAAAGGGCACGCGAGGGGGCGGGTGGCAGGGACCACACGCAGTACACACACAGGTACTCTATTTGAGGCTGAGTCGACCTAGGGGGAGGGAGGCCCCAGGGAAGCGGTTCAGGTAATCGTCACACCGGTGATGGTGGAGGCCATGCTCGCTAACCGCTCCACCGCCGCTCCCCAACAACAACCGCCATTTGCCACTAAGTGGCAGTGACGTCACCACGACGCTTGTGCCAGGACATGTGCACCTTGAGGCCACGTGAAGTGTCGAACGCCCGCTGGCAGGAGGTCACGGGGTAGACCCAGCAGGTGCCATGGGTCGACTGACTGAGATGACCGAGATGACTGGCTGATGCACCACCTGTGCCCCCTACTGTACCAACTTGCTGTGCTTTAGCCACCCGGCGCTCCGCTCGTTGTTGTGAGCGTCGCTCCTCCGCCCTCCGTTGTTGTTGGAGGGCGACTGCCTCCAACTGCCCAGTAGCGTCCTTCACGAGCCTCCTCCACTGAGGCCGATCTTGACACCGCTGGTACCAGTCATCGGCAAGTCCACTCAGCTCCACGTCCTCCTGTACCACATCACTCCATCTCTTATCCAGCCCGTGCCGCGCCCGTCTAGCCCCCTCGATCCGGCCGAACAAAAGCTGTTTAGGCATGCGGTGGCTGGGCATGCGGGCTACATGACCCACTCACACACTCACACACTGACACTCTCACACACTCACTTACACACTCACTCACACACACACACTCACACACACACTCACTCACACACTCACTCACATTCACACACTCACACACACTCACCCACACACTTACTCACACACTCACATTCACTCACTCACACACTCACTCGCACACTCACTCACACACACACTCACACACTCACTCACTCACACACTCACTCACACACACTCACCCACACACTCACACACACTCACTCCGCTTGCGACTGTGCGTGTGTCCGCGAGCAGACGGGTGACAAGTCGGACCAGGTGGAGAAAGCCAAGAAGAGTGCCCGCCTGCGGCAGCACGACTTCAAGGTGGGTGAG